ACACAAGTCTTAATTTAAAACAAAACAAACAAAAAAAAACATTTATTAACTAAGCCTTGTCTGATGCAGGCTGTATTAAGTGCTACCACGCAGGATTTCTTCTTTAAAAAAATTAAAAATAAATAAATTCATTATTTATTTTATCTAGTGCTAAATATTCTGTTCTTATTTGTATATTAATCAGATTAATATTTTTTTTACATAAAATAAAATGACTGTTTTAAATCCCAGCATTTTTGATGCAAAAACAGCAACAAGCCTAAACAAAACTGTCAGAGCAACACAGAGAAAAAGAAGAGACACACATACACCTTGCTGTCTTTGTGAGGACTTCACACACAGCGCTCACAGCATCTCTGCCTCAGTCTGCTGCTCCCGTTTTTAACACCAGACAAAAAAATGCATTTAAACCAGTTGATGTTAACTTTAGATCACAGTTTGAAATGTACACCGAAGAGAACCAGCATCACGACTGCGGTCACAGCAAACGTGATGTGAGCAGCGTCTGGTTCACATGATGGTGGACGGCTGCGCTCACTAAAACGTTCAGCGAGAAAAGACCGAAAGCTTTTTTATTTTAATCCAGCAGCATTTTTAAAAAGATAAACAACGCAGACACGCTGATTACAGTGTGGTGCGAAAGTGAAAGTAAAACATGTCGCAGCGCTYCCGTCTGGAAAAGAAACTTAAACACAGCTGTTCTCTCTTCCCTCATATTCTGACACAGAGGGTAGAAACAGCTAAATTAGACAGTTAAAACACATTTATAGTTCATAACTCACCCTTATTGTTGTTAGCACTCTGTCTCACAACATTAGCTGCTGCTCTCTCCCTGGGGGAAGGGGCGGACACATGCGCTCGCGTGACCCAAAGAACGGATCGGCCGAACGGACAGTGTATCGGCCGATACCGATACAAGGAAAAAACGCAAATATCGGCCAAAAATATCGGCCGGTCGATGTATCGGTCGACCCCTACTTAATTCCACAATAAATCATGATTAAGTTTGTTTGTTTTTTTTTGCCAATATTGCCCAACCCTTTGTGGTACAAGCTTGAGATTGATYCCAACACATATTAGGAATTCTGACAGATTGTGCAAGATCTTTGTTTAAATGATAATTAAACGTAACTTATGGAATCAGCTGTTGACCACTAGACAGACTTTAATCAAACTTGTAGGAAATAAAGATTAAATATTCACTCACCGCCCACTTTATTAGGTACACCACGCTAGTAATGGGTTGGACCC